CCCACTGGGAGGCCTTCAGCAACTTCGGAAAGGTTGTCATCTCGTATATCACCGGGTAGTATTGACGTACAACTTGATATGTATATATATACAAAGAACTACCACTCCACTTCGACCAACACACACGCGCGTATATGTGTATCCCATAACAGCAAAAATGTAATTTCATCAAAACAATGACACACCATGCAAACCAATTACCTTGCTGTCCGGAAATGTTCTTCACCGCTTCGTACATGCAACACCGCACACTGAACACCCCTCGAACATCCACCTAGAGATGTGTCCATCCAAAATTGTATGCCTTTGCACAATAAAAGTCCTGGTTCCCCCCACAGCCAGCTGCAGCTGTTTAAAAGAGTGTCTCTGTGTTCTACTACTGGTTGTGAATCGCACGCCGCAAAACAAGAGTTGCCATTGTGAGCTGGACCCGAAGAACACGGGTTGAGGCGTAATTGGAAGAGAATGGGTTAGACACCCGTCCTTTCCATTTTCCTACCTTTATATATATATATATATGTATGTATGTATGTATGTACTTTCCATTCCAAGAAGGAAATTGGCCGTTAGGGGTTGAACCGCCACGACGTGATGCGTATGTATGTTAAATATCGGTCTATAAGAACAAATGTTAGCTCCATCAAAAGAAGATAGCAAAGATAGAAGAGCCATAGAAGTAAATAACTCTCACTCACTTACGTCGCTCCTATTTTTCAGGTTTCTGAACTGAGCCTTGCCGAAATTCCCAGCCAAGCTTCCCTGGCGGGAATTACATTTCAACTCTGGCAATCTCGTTGTGGTACTATTATAGTACTGACATTTCCGAATGATAAGGGTCCTGGTGGGTTAGGAAATATAAACATATTAGTGCTCGCGTATAGTAGGAGGATATTTATGGAATTGGGGAGCGGCATTTCCGTAGCTCGCTGGAATCAGTCAGTTAGCAACAGGACAGTATGTCGACAAACATACCACAAGCTGATTTCCAACTTCAAAACCTCCCTTGCTTCCCACTACCTACTAGTAGTTAAGCCAGGACAGCTCATGATCATTCGAGAAACACCAACGGTGATTGTCTGGTTCAGTGATCACCATCGAATCTGGTGGTTGGATCGGTGATTGGCCAGAGACAGCGCCATTCATATTCGCTGCGAATTGTTCCCATGGAGGATGTGGAGCAAGCACATCATAAGTCGGCTTTTGGCAAGAGAATGACTGGAGCCATGTCCGCCATAGAACGTCTGATGGGCCCATTAGAAGACATGCCCGTTCGTGGGCTGAGAGCTTTTCATGCTCGCTCGCCAGAAAAGCCATGGAGATGTCGAGGTACCCTCCTCAAGTGCAGAAACCGATTACCAAGGTGGTGATCACTTCTCGCACTATTAATCCGGAAGATTCCGTGCCTGTTCAGTCCGGCAGGAAGTTGGCGGCAAGAATGGAAGAGGAAGGGCCGTTCAAATGTGCTTGCGCCCCTAGACGCTGACAAGAATCGTCAAGGGTAAGGTGCTTGCCCCATCCGGTGGGGCAATGAGGGAACCCGTTGCATGCTGAATCGGAATCACCTATATATCAAAAAATCGCGACATACTCGCTGTGGATACATTTGTCGCTAGCTTCGACGCTGGGTGACGAGCTCTGATAAACTTGTTGAAATCTCAATTGTCATGTTTGTATTTGATGTTTTTTCACAACGTCAAACTAGAGTCATGATCAACTGGATCCTCTTCTCCTGAAGAAGAGTGGGACTTCGATGATGGTAGATCTTTTGCAGATTGCAAAATTACTTTTTGACTAAGGTAAAACAGGATGATCTTGTTATGCTCCAGGGTTGTGTTATCGAGTTGAACAGAACATTCAACGTTACTGGGGAGGAGATTGTGTTGTGGAGTCGAACTTCAACTCTTATATGATCATCCCCTTCTCCGGGCTGCAATAATTGAATGCTAAACTATGCACCTAGGCTTCCGGCATCCAGCGTGTCTGTGAGCTATAGTTTGCAAATGGTGGATAAGCTCTATCCTGTCCCACTTGGCGGCTGTCTCGCGTCATTGTCTTCGGTGAAGCGAATTCTAGAACCGCAGAGATAATGCTCTGGGTGCTCGTTTTGGAAGGCGCAAGGAGAAAATAAAATAAAAATAAAGGAATGAACAAAGGAATAATATTCGCATAATTCAAACCTCCAAGCCAAGTAAGCAAGAAGCAGCGCAAGGAGAAGAGGCTGGCTACTCTTATCCATCTATCTGCACATGAGGACAAACAGAGAATGGGCTCAAACAAGCAGATCACAGAAGGCGCGGTCCAGACGTATACCAGACGTATACCTGCAGATATCCATCGAAATGCAGTCCATCCATAGAGATTCATCCAGGCCACGCGCGACCCTCCCCCCACGTCCTCTAAAGATATGACTGGGTTTACCCCAGCCGAAGGAGGCTTATCCACGCAATCTACAACCATCCTTGCTGCTCTAGATTGCCATGATCCTTTCGGTCATGGGTATTTCTCAACGGGCCAGGGGTGGTGGGGGAGGTAACCGGGAAAGTAGAAGTTGGCAAATATATTTTGCATGAGTTATGCATCACCTCCCCGGAGTTGCAATGATGCTACGGATATTTGATCAGACCACTCATATACACGGAAGCATGGGGTCTTTGGATGTTGGGGTGTTGGGGCCAAAAGTTTGCCCTCCGATTGAGGTCTTCGGCCCTTCTTCATGTACCAGGGGGTAGGGAAGCCCCAACTTTCTGAAACAGGGTTGGTTTGAGTGGTCTACTAGGTATATACTATCTTTATGTGCGTGGGGTAGAATTAAATCGGGGACAGGATAGGTGGTGGCGTACATTGTATTCATCAATTCTTCAAAATGGACGTTATCTTACACAATTCCTCCTAATTGCCCTTTTAGCCTCCTGCGTAAAATGGGCGGTTAGCAGAGGATCATCACGGATGAATCAAAGTGGA